ATTAGAAAGTATTGGAATAGATGATATCAAGCAATTTACAAGAAGTCATCTACGTAACCCATGACTGCCTGCTTCTCTTCTATATCTTCCATCGTATTCAGTACGCATATGTAGGATGGGACAGTAGAGGAAGCATTTGACACAAAGTCACACTGATACAAAAACAGTGTGAGGCTAGCCATGTGGTCTGTACTTTTTTTTTTTTTTATTAATGCAAGAACTCAGGTTTAGTGGGATAAAAGAGTCAGAAGGGACGTGTAAGCCGTGAGAACGTAAACTATTATAGACCACTTTCTGATGGTCTGTTGACTTTTCACGGTGACCTACTCCTAGGCCTCTCGCTGAGAAGTCCTCTTGATGTCTGTGGGCATATAGGCACCTGATGAGACAGGGGGACTCAGGGTCTTGTCCAGGCACCCTTTCTCTTAACAACTTCTTCATCACTTCCCTCTCCTGCCACAGATATGAAGCCAACCACCTCTCTAGGGGAAAGTGACCCTCTTTTATGTCTCAGAGACTAAGGAAGGCCAGTTTGAGGTCTTCCTGATGTCCTTATCCCCTGTACATAAAGTAAGAGAAATGGTGGGTTAGCCCCCAATCTCAAAAGCTATACTAGAATCTACTAGTTATTTTATATAGAAGAATGCAACATTTGCTAACTGCCATGAACCAAATACTACTCTGAATTATGTAGCAACTACCTTTTTCTTTTTTTTAATTATGTAGTCATCACAACAGATCTGTATTGCACATATTAATGTCATCCCTACTTCACAGATAAGGAATCCCAGGCTTTGGAAGATTAAGTGACTTATCCAAATCACCTAGCAGTGGGTAGCACAGCTTGGTTTAGACACAGCTCATGTCAGAGGCTCTCACATGCTGGCAGGTGTGGCAGAGTGTGGGGCTGCTTTGGAGCTGCAGTGGTCCTCATCAGCAGTGAGTTCTCACATCAACTACCTGGGGTTAGACAAGACTTCACAGGTTACCAGTATAGTCTTTCCTGCCTCCCTCCACAAGACTGCCCTCACTTCCAGTCCCAACCACAGGACATTTCCAACCAGCTGACTTCAGATTCGCAGGTTCCCACTTGTTCAAGTCGATAATTCTCTACAAAAACTCACAGAACTCAGGGAGGTTCTATGCTTAGAGTTGTATTATCCCAAAAGGATATAATTCAGAACCAGCCAAAAGGAGAGTTGCATTGATTGGGGTTTTGTTGTTGTTGTTAAGTGCCGTTGAG